CCACCCACCCATCCATCCATCCACCCACCCATCCATCCTTCCATCCTGGTCTGGACACCAAAACCTACCTATGGGTGAAATTCAGCAGGCTGCTAGTTTATGACTGGCAAGTGCTGAGATTTAGGTATGAGTGAGCTCCTACCTTCGGAGACTTCCCGAGATGATGGGAAGGGAAGCCGTGTAACATAACCGTGAGAGTTCCGGTTTTGGAGTCAGTTGGATCTAAACCTGAATCCTCACCCTACCACTTTTTAGCTGTGTGACCTTGGGCAAGCCCCTGAACCTCTCTGAGCATCGGTCTTCTCATCTATAAAATGGGCCCCGCGGTACCACTTGGCAGGGGCGTCGTGAGCATTAAACGGCATCATGGTTTAGGGTGCTTAGCTCCTCACTGTGCTCCTAGTGAATGCTCCCTCGTGGTAGCTTATTAGGTTAAGGGTCTAGGCCTGACACTGGCTCCCGTCAGAATAGGACTGTGGGCTGAGTTCGTCCGGCTCAGTCTTCACGCGCGTCCATCCGGGCTCCTCTGCAGATTGAGTATAACCTTCCCAAGAGCTCCAAGGACCACCTGGAAGTGCTGGACATCCACCAAACCGACCAGGGCAACTACCCTACCTGTATGATCTGGTACCCGCCACTCATCAAGGAGCTCTTCCTGCTCATCTCCAACAGCGGCTACAAAGTGAAGCTTTTCAATTCTACTACCAAGATGTGCAGGTATGTCCGGGGCCTTCCCACTCCCATGGTGCGTAAGTTGATTTCTCAGCCCCCGGGCCCATGCCAAGTCCCAGCTTCAGGGCCTGCGCGCAGTTCGGCTGCCGTCGCGGTCACTGATTTTTCAGAGGAGGAAACTGAGGCACAGGTGAGGCAAGTCGTTTCACTCTGGGTCACATGGCCGGGAGGCGCCAGAGGCAGGATTCAAGCCCAGAGCCCTGGCTGCCGAGCCCGGCCCTGCCCAGAGGCGAGGCTCCCGGAGCTCGGTGCCTGAGACTTGGCGAAGGAGCCAGAAGAGTCACCGGTGCTCTATAAAATCTCCGGTTCTTCCCTCGTGGACGAAAACGGGTGCTTGAATACTACCAGTCGTGGATTTTTCTTACGCTTGGCTCTGAAAGGAGATTTTCAGTTCACTGCGGCACCTGCCCTTGTTCACTCAGTGCTTCCCGAGCCCCCGCCTGGGCCAGGTGCCGTTCTAGGTGCTGAAGGCAGGGACGAAAACCGTGTTTCTCTCACTGTGGAGTCTGCATCGCAATGGGGGGAGTGGAGTTCATGGGGGAGGCCGGGCTGGAGATCCGCGCCGAGGACAAGAGCCACCCCTGGTTCCAAGACAACGCTGTCCTTCCAAGGAAAACCGCTCACAGGAAGCATCTTGCGAGTTGCAGGAATAATAAAGCCTGGCGGCCGCACCTTAACCCAGGAAGGAATTGTCTTTCCATGATAAATCCGAAAACAATTTTAAAACGCATTTAAAAAGTATTTAAAAGAACACGAAAAGGCAGTTCACAGAAAAAGGCCAACAAACCCACGAGCAGATGCTCACGGGTGTAGCGCGGATGCAAATGAAAGCCAGGCGCTGGCTCCGCAGATCAGATCGGCAGAGGCGAGAACGATCGCTGGCACCTGGCGTTGGCATGGGGACGCCGGGAAGGGCGCTGCTCCCCAGGCGCCGCCCCCGGGGCTGGAAACCCGGCCGGCCAGCCTCTGGGAGAGCCCTGCGCCGCCCTCGATCAAATCTGATGGTATCTCTGACTTCTAGGAACGCAGCCCGCAGAAGCGCTCCCCGTGTGCCAGGGCCTAAGTCAAAGGATGTCTTGTCTGAATATATTTTTAAATATGGAAACCATCCAAATGCCCATTAATAGGGGATTAGTTAAGCGGTGCCTTGTCAGTGCGCTGAAACACGACACGGCTCTTCCTTTTCAAATTTTATTTATTTAATGGATTTAGAGAGAGAGAGGGGAAGGGGGAGGGAGAGAGAGAAGCATCGGTCCTGGCTGCTCCACGTATTTACGCATCCCTGGTATGTATGTGCCCTGACGGGCGATCGAACCCGCAACCTTGGCGTGTCGGGACAATGCTCTGAGCAACCAAGCTACCCGGCCAGGGCCTGCAGGACGCTGCTTTCAGCAAAGGGAGGGGAAAAAGGGGAAAGACAAGCTGTCTGCGCAGAAACATGGACATATCCCCGAGATACAACGTGAGATGAGGCAAATCGCCAAATGAGCACGAATCTATTTTCATAGAAGATGGTACTTACGTAACTTATATTTATTCACATAGAATTAGAATTACGTGGGTTAGAACATGAAAAATAATTCTCGAGCCATATACACCAAACTGTGCGGATGATCATCGGGGGTAAAGGGTGCGGGCCTGGAGGCATGTTTAGGTTTTCTGCTTTAGGCCGGCACGCTTGAAATTTTTCACGATAAAAAAAGCGCGATACTTTTTCGATGAGAAGAAAAACGTCGGTGTTGGGAAACTGTTCGGTATTTGAACAATACCAGGGAGTAGTCACGCAGCTCCTACTGTGCGCTTTCTGTGTATTAGCTTGTTCAGCGCTCACCCCAGCGGGTAAGTGCCACCATTTCCCCGTTTTACCAGCCAGGAGCCTGAGGCGCAGGTTGAATCGCTTGACCTTATTTGGTTGTTTATTATTTACATTAACACACAGTTCACACACCCTAATATTTACCTCCCCCCCCCCC